ACACAGAATTAATGAAGTATAACTAACTTGGACCTTGATCCACTTTTCTTCCTCAATGTGCCGCCAAAAATGTTGACAAGGGGGATGTGTATGGCCCAAAGAAGAAAGCCATTTAAGTTTTTTCCCTAATTCACACTTCCTCATGGGGACAGGTTTGATATTAAGAAAAAGGTTTGATATTAAGAAAAAGGTTTGATATTAAGAAAAACATTGCACAATGACCCACAGCATCTCTGTTCTCTATATAAAGGCAGCTGACCTGTGGTAAGTACAACAGACTTCAGCAGATCAGTTGACTTCTTACAGCCTATCATTCACTGTCAGCAGACACGTAAGTGTTCATCAATATAATACGTGTGTGACTTACTTTACCAGATTGACTGTCTTCAGAATGCAGAATTAAAAGGAAATGTAATTTTTATGTCATTATGGTGATCAATGTTTAATAATTTATAATTTTTCTATTATTCAAATGGGAGCTCACCTGAACAGGAAAATGAATGCATATAACTTGTGCTTTGTATTTAATCATGATGTGTCATTTGATTGCAGTTTACCACAATGGCCAAACACATCACAAAGGCATACATCACAGATCTTCAAGTGTCCCTGAATCCAGCTGAGGAGCAATTCTACCAATCAGAAAGCTTCAACAAAATCAATGTCGATCTGAACAAAGGACCAAGAGGAAATGCCATCTATCTTTGGTACAAACATGGATCAGAGCCGATCACAAAGGTTCAAGTTTCCTTCAACGAAAATATGGCTAAAGGTTTGATCGAAGCAGGGTACACACAGATCTACAAAGATCTCAATGCTGGAGCAGGAGGTAATAACCTCTACCTTTGGTACTCCAAAGGGACCGGAGAGTTTGATACTCCCATAGTGGAAATCACTGTCACTGCGGATCCACACAATGAAGCTCCAAAGTTTGGTGTTGGTTATGAGAGAGTGTCCTGTGATCTGAACCGCGTGGCTGGTGGTAACTGGATCCACTTGTGGCTGAAGAGAGAGAAACAAACCTACATCTGTGATATCACTGCCACTGATTCCTACGGATTAGACACCGACTACTTTCGCGATGGCTACATCCGTATGGATGAAGATACTAACAGAGGTGCAGATGGAGCCTATGTCTTCATCTGGTACCGTCGGACCACGGACCCCGAGAAGGCACTCAAAGATCTGCAAGTCTCCATCAATGATAGTCAGCATCAGAGCTATCAGCAGCAACAGTACCATCCAGTGAGTGTTAACCTGAACGAGGGGACCGGAGGTAAACCAGTGTACATGTGGTACAAGAAAGAGGGATCCAACCAACCCATTAAGAGCATCGCCCTGCTGCTCAACACAGATTTGGTTAAAGATTATGAGAAGCATGGTGTCACCGTTATCGAGAGAAATCTCAATGAGTGCAACAATGGCTGCACTGAGTACCTGTGTTTCTATCAGTAAAGGCAGAGAGTTCTGAACACTCACTGAAGTAGAAAGCAGAGTCCATTTATGTTTGTTAAATCATTTGGTAAAAATATTTTCTCTCTACATTTCTCTATATAAAACAATGTGATTAATATATAACAGTAATAATAATGAAAATATATACTGTAAGTATCAAGGCTAAATTAATTATATTATTTAACTCTGTCAATAAAAACTAATCAAATCATTTCAAGAACAATGTTAATGAATGATTGAGTATTAAGGCCCTGTTTCACTTTATACTGCATGTTCTGCTTTTCAATAAAGACAAATCTGCATGTGAAATTATTTTGCCTCCGACTCTCTTCAATAGAAACATCACTTGAGTCTTTTATTGTGTGGAGAAAGTACTCTTTTACTAAATTAAAAGTTGCAGATAAAAAAGTATGTGATGAAAAAAGTATTGCATTGACAATTTTACTTAAAGTAAAAGTAACGAAGTGCTAGCAAAGATCAAAAATATATATAGAAATAAACACAAAATGTCACGTTTTAGAAAATTTGTTATCGTATTATTGAATTATGATTATTGATGCATTATTAATGCACATAATTTTTTTATGTTGCAGCTTTTTATTATAATTACTACTTGGTAGCTTGTGAATTTCAACAAAATATCAGCCAAGTAAAATCTTTATTGCGGACATTCATCCTAATTGTTTGTTAATCATTTTGTAATTATAATCAGAATCTTCAAGTAACTTAAAGCATCGAATACGTGCAGATTGGTAAAAAGTACAACAGCTAAAGAGTTTACAGGGGCAGGAAATGTTACTTTAAAAATTATAATACAACTCCCTAAAAATTGTGCTTAAGTTATTTACTGGATTAATTGTACTTAGTGACTTTGAAACACTGTGGTCTTATGTGCACAAACTCATCGGTCATGATGATATGACGTGGCCTGGTGCAGGACAGGGTAGTTTTAGCCTTTGATTTGCACATCTGAACCAAGGATTCTTTTTTGGTGCATATATTATATATTTGATATATAATCAATTTTAGGGGGCTGGTTCTACAGTATGTGAGTAGTTGTACAGATATATTCCCTGAGTCAGGCACACTGAAGATCTGGATGTGACCTCGGGCGTGGCTTCTGATGGTGGAAGGAACCTGAGCTGAGAGTGATCATTCACACTGAAATCTCAAATGAGAGCAGCAGAGTGGAAAACTGTTTGACAGCAAAGATATGGCTGGCTCATGAAGATAATGGCAACATCTGATTGGTTTAGCCAAAAGTGTGAAAGGCAATAGTCAGTCGAGCTTCATTAAGAAAAAAAAACCTGGTGCCAGTGTGGCTCTCTAGCTGCTTCACACCCTTTCTTTGAATGAAACAGTAGAAAGTTAATTCAACACAAGTACACATTACACCCAAGATGTGTGTGTTTTTTTAGCACGAGCCCACAATTACATAATGCGGCATAATTTTCAATTCTGGGTGTTTTGTTTTTAGAAGCCAGTGGGGATGTTTAGAAAAACCTCACCACCAAAAGAGAGGAGAGAACATAGGGAGGGTGAAATCTGTTGGGAAAGAATATACTTTTTTTAAGATGCATAAGGCATTGTGCTCATTAGGGTTCTAAAATGAAATCAGCAGCATGCCAGGAGGTCCTTGTAAAGATTTTATTTGGTGATGTTTTGTTGGGTTGGTCAGTGCCCAGGAGAATTGGGTGGTCACCTATTTTGGGTGTCTGGAGGTGGAGAAAACGTGCTAAAGATACCTGATTATCCCTTCTGACGCTCAACCTTGTGAGACTTCAAGGTGCCTCCCTCCGTCTTGATCGCAGGAAACAGTGTTTTATTGTTTATCTAATAAAGTTTAAATCCTGCAGATGATGAGCAGGTTAGTGGAACTGACAATCACTCGTGTTGGCTCTTGCATATTACTGAAGTTGCAGTTTGATGTGTATTGAATCTAAATATACGTATTGGGATGTAGCATAATTTTCCAGAACTAAAATAGAAAGAAAGAGACTTTAACTTCAAGAAACAGTTCACAACATGTTTTTTCCCCCTTGTCTAAAGTTAGACGAAAGTGACACCACTCATGTCTGTAAGCTAATTATGAAGCTAAAGCTAGCAGTCAGTTGGCTTCATTTAGCCTAATGGAAACATGTGTACACTACAGCTAGCTTAGCTCTGTCCAAAGTAAAACATCACACCACTGTCTCTAAAGCTAATTAATATAGGCTACCTCTTTTTAAATATATACGTTAAAAACTTTAGGATGGTAATTCAGTTTTACAGGAGGTAATGTGCTAACTGTGCCCCCCTTAGGTTTGCTTTATGCTAGGCTAAGCTAAGCTAATCACCTTGTAGCTGTAGCATCATATTTGTGAGTGGTAGCAATCCCATTTAAAGGTAAGGTAAGAATGGAGAAACCAGCTCGAGTGCGGTAGAATTTGAAACTTTTGAAAGTACACAACTGAAAAAAATCTAAGTTTGTGCACAGGTGGAAGGCTGACAGGCAGGTAGGCCATCCAGTTGTTTTAGCCGGGCTGGCTCAGATGATTTGATTTTTACAGCGCCGCGGCTTCCACAGATGAATTTTCTGTATATATTTATTGTCAAAGCATTTAATGTTTTCATTGCTAT